TTTGGATTTGCTCAGCCTCCAATCCGTATATGCAATTCGTAACTGGAACCAGAACCGGGTTTCACACTGCGTCAACCTTGCTACCGATCGTCATGAATGGGCCGCCATCATTAGAGACATCCAAGGAACCGAATTATCTTCCCGCAGGAGTTAGTCAATTAATAGAAAAATTAAGTAAGTATCAGGTTTTCTGTTTCTTCAGGTTTAACATTTGTTAATTTCACATTGAAATGCTTATTACAATCAAACGAATTTAAACGACATACATTCTACTTTTTACAGTGACTGACTGACTAAGGGGCACCTGAAGACTGAATCCTATCTAATTTTGCGCTTATTACTGGGCCTTCAGTCCGAATCGCAGTTTGAACTAATCAAGTACAATTACTGTTTCTATTGACATAAGTAGACATTGTATTTTTACAAAATATTTCATTCACAACAAAGACCAGGGAAGTGGCACGTCAATCACTATTATTGATTTTTACCATTCAGCCTTCAACACAACGTGTGGTGCAACGGAATCCATTTTTTGTGCTAAATCTTGTAAAACCTGACTTATATACAAAGGGGCTGAGTCTAACAATCATACTTCCTGATTGATCACCTGACTGCCAAGGTTTTTTGAATTACAGAATTGTTTACCAGTTCAACTTCGGTGATCCCCGGTTCCTATCATGGAACACTATGGTTCCTCGAAACAATTCAACATGTGAAGCAAACCGCATCGGGCTTGTTGTGAAAACACCACCAACTGCATTGTACTCGGAAAACAATGTAACAGATCATACAGAAAGTAAATGAAAACTTTGTGTACCGAAGAACAGAAATCGAAAAGAACGAATCGAATCAACTACGCGCGGTAGTGAACAATACTCACTTTAGGTTTATAGCTCCGTGCTCGAAGTCCATAAGGTGCCTCTCTTCGAGTCACGTGAAAATGACCGGGAAAGTCGTCGTGCATTAGACTTCGTACTTGCACGTGTGGCTGCTCCGCAATCCATAGAGGACGACTGATCAGATATCGCGTATCCGGACCGGTGAAGGCGAGCATATTGATCACCAATGTAGCTAGATAAGTTGAACTCAGGTTGACTATTGGTAGGATATTTAACGCCTATCTATGCTGCGAAAGAAACCAAAATACAGTTTGACATAATCCTAGACCAGTTAGAAAACAGGAGAATGATTCAAACAAGCTATAGTTAAAGAAACAATTAGAATGTTCTGTCAAGTATTTTTTTTCAAAACTGTTCAGCAAAAATAATGCATAACAATTCCGACGCCATTCCAGCATGAAAATTAATAATTATGGTATTCGTAATAATATAACTAGTGAACGTTTGATCGTGTTTGTAGATATTCAGCCTTTCTAACAAAAATGAATCTAACGAGATAGAATGCAACTGATTAGGCGTAAAACAACATGGAGTGCATTTTGTTTCATTTTTCCAAGTCTACAAACTGTAATTGAATAAAAAAGACCCTTGCCCATATAAGGTGCTAAAACTGTGCTCTTTAGACCAACTACGGAAGCCATGAAATTTCGTAAACTAACTGGTACTGGTAAGTAGAAATCCGGAAAGCTTACTCTCCTACCGCAACAAACTGATGGAGTAATTGGTGTCTAGAAATCAATCCATGAATGTCTAAAACTGAGCGACTACGTGGTAGTTATTTTTCGGGAGCAAATTCTGTTAGCAGTGTATCGAAAAATCGATGCCCCATGTGTTGCGTTCAAGTGTGTATGTTATAATGTCAATAACAAATCGATGTCGGTAGAGACTTGTATTCACCAACTTTGAGTCATTTGATTGTCAAACCTGCTTTTAGAGAGGTTACTCAACGCCGTTATTAACATTATGACATTCACATTGATAGTTAATTGGTTATAAAAGAAGTGTATGTGTGTATAGTGCACAGTGAATACGTTTGGTGTGTAACTGGTTCGCAATCACATAATACGTTTACAATCCTGATCCATTCTGAGTCCTTTTAGAATGTGATCTACGTGAAAATGAGGCTAATAGAGAAGCAGTAATCGGCTTCCCGGGTAGTTGATCGAATACAATTCTTTTGTGATCCCTCTTTCCTAATTGGATTGTTCATTCGATGCGTTTCATAAACACCGAAAGCAAGGTTACGAAACAGGTAACACCCGCTAGAATAGAATTGTATCATTGGTGGCACTAACCTCCTTTCAACAATACAGTTCTCAGTCTTTCGCCGGCGAGCTTTGAGTCTCAGAGTCGGAGGTTCAACTCCGACGACCACCCAACTTTTGTAGTGGCAAATTTGCTTTTATCTCGTTCAAAACTACACCTCGACTTGGAAGTTCCTCAGTCCAAGTTCCGGGGTTTAGTTTGTCGATTTCCATCTTGATTTTCATCGAAAGACGAAAACCATGAGGTACAAACTGATGTAACTATCGTTCGTGTGATTCCTGGTGCTTTGACTCAGCCAAGCGCATGAGTACTTCACAGTTTCTATCATACATGACTTAGTGTGCCACACTGGGACTCGATCCATTGACCTTTGGATAGGGACTCGAACCAGTCGACAGTTGAAATTTTGTGGAAATGGCTGAATCAGTGCTTGGTGTCTAAAACCTAATAAAATCTGGTTCACAACTGCCCCAGTGCAAAGGTTCTCACATTTAACTCATTGTTACTTGTGAGTAGTATCATAATGAAAATAAATTCAAGTGATGTGCCACGAAAATCAGGGGGATTATAAATTTTTCATTTTGATTCAAAGCCCTATTGAACCGTTTCATTCATATCCCAAACTATCACACGAATATTTTCCAGTTATGCCTTCATTTGTGCTTGGAGTCACACAGCAGACTTCAGACACCTGTTCAAAAAGTTCTCAATTACAGAGAGATTGGTGCCGTAAGCAACTCGCTTTAAAACGTGCATTACATCAAGAAATAGTCATACAATTGGGCGATAAAGCGTGTGCATCACAGTGGCATCCTATTATCAAATACCCATATTTCATCCTACTTCGCTTCTAATGGAATGCCAAATGAAATTTTTCAGTGAATTTTAAAAACTGTTTTATAATGCGTTACCGTTATGCACTGATAATGAACTAGAATGAGGGATACGTGGGGAGAGAGAATGCGCACTGAACCGTAGCCAAATGTTGGCTAGTTTGCTGCTTGTTCAACCCGACCCTTGCCTTTGCGAGTTCTATAATAATAGTGAGTTTTCAATCCGTCTAAACGAATCCATTTTGGTTCGAACTATCACATTTTCTTTGGCACATTCTCTTATCCAACTGCTGAGTCCGGTACTAATCTGTTCAGTACTTTGATAAGCAGTTTTTTTAATTTTAACTTCTGAAGACCTATGGACTATATTTCTGTCAAAAGTGTACCCAGTAGGGAAAAATGAAAGATATCAAGTCCCGATACTTAAACTACATCCGCGAAAATGCGTTCTCTGCTAACCGGAAGAGTTGCAAATGAAGGTACCATAGAGGTACAACAGATGCTTATGTGAGGGGAAACAGAGCGCTATTGGGGTCTAGTTGACAAATGGGATCTAAAGGAAATTCTCGCATTTTGCAGTGAATGCATTGGAAGCCATGAAATTCATGTAATATTTAAAGGGTCTGTTGAAGTTGCAAGCCTTTTCTGGACGGGAATGCGTTCCAACCGCACTGCACCCAAAAAGCCAGTTGATGATTTTTATTTAACGAAATTAGACGGAAACGACTGACTGTTCCAACAAATATGGCACATCCTACGTGTTTAGTTTTTCCATTAAGTTCATATTTTAGTTTGAGAAGGCTTCGTTCTCATTCGGTTCAACACCACACGACAGACAGTTTTCGGTTTGCCATGTCAATGAACAGAGTTTAGATTTTCTACTCTAATGGGTAGATCATAGTAGGTCTCTTCGCTTGTCTACCAAGCACCAAAATATCACAAAAAAGCATCATACAAAACATTTGGGTGAAAGCACTCACAGGTTTGTTTGTTACAAAAACATCTCAAGAAAGTCATGAACCGTTTTTCAAGACCAAAACGCATTAGCGTTTCGGTCAAATAAACTCGAGACACACAACAGAAACGGGACATGTTTTTAGGCAAAAGATACGATGTAATAGCGTGACGGTTTTGTACTTTAAAAGTTTAACCCTCGTCGAGTTGTCTACATACTATCGAATTAGTACAATTTTAAAATAAACATGTACAATGAACTTCCTAATAAGTGAAACTATACAATGCTCTCCTTTCCCCCAGCCCCCCCCCCAGAACAAACGTTATCGAGATTGACTAAATTTGTTCTTCATGCGATTGGTTTCCCTCTCCGGATGGACACGTGAAAAAATCGTTTATATGCTAGCATGCAATAAATAACCTGACGAAAGATTTATTTCGGTCGGCCAGTGTCTATCATTGTTGGATTTGTATCGTCTCGTAATTAATTGTATTATTAAAAATGAACCCATTGGGGATATTTTAGCACACTTATGGCTCCTGTCAGAATGATTCTTTCTTTTGTGTATGGATTAAAAATCGGTAATAATTCGCGGGCCTATTTTTGCAACTTAGATAGCATTCATTACTCAGACTCCGCCATTTTGTTTTTTTATCAGTCGTTACTTCCCAAGCCTAGGATCCACACATCTGCGTTGAATGGTCTTTGTGCGGGACAGAAAACCCTGTAAAAAGTGGTTGTAGTCACATACATATGGCTATCTACACCAAATTACAGCATGATACACTTCGCAGAATCTCTAGTAATCTGCAAATTATGAAATCTGACCGGATAATCTACTGTTTGGAGTGTTTCTGATCGGTAGTGTGATCGCGAGAAATGGGTCGAAATGAGGACTCTTACTGTGATCCCCGTGACTGTGTGACTGTAACTGATACAGCAGAGCTAGTACCAGTGCGGACATTTGACGTTACTCTTACCTGTGGAGTCCACCAACGGTATCGAGCATCGAACCAGGTGACACATTATGTCGATGTCCACGAACATGCCCTATTGAATGGTCCTGAAAACACCGCTTGTTTTCGGTGCTTCATCACCTGAAGACATACAGCACGTTTTGCGGTAGAACAAAAGACTGATGCGAAATAAATCAGAGTTTGAAATGAGTGTATTTCATCGTGACAATTGATATGCGTGGTGTTTGTGTTTTTGTATGTGCGTGTGTAGAAGTTGGATGAAGAAAAAGTGGTGGTTGTGAATGACTGAGTGAGTAAATGAATGAGAGTTGATGGATAAATTCCCTTACCCGAGGGTGAGTCCATTGTTCTTTCAATTTGTGTTTGGGAGTATTCGAGGGGTGTCGTTTTGCAGACTGTTCATAAACACCTTTGATTCTTTCCGATGATCCGTATCCAATGACATACCCAGATTTACTCTATGGATATTTCATTACTTACCAATATATCACTCCAAAAAAGAGACTGTTAACTTTGTAGGAACTGATACTAGAAAATCTGGAAAAACCTGCTGTAATGTCTGTAGATTAACTCACAAGTTTTCCCACTAGATGCGCATAAAAAATGCAATTCCAATTTATTGGTGCAATATATAGATAGATAGAAAGATGGAATAGCCATGGGTTCACCATTAGGAGCACAACTGGCCGACATCTTTATGGCTAAATTAAAAAAACTGTGCGTATTCAAACCTCGCTCCTACAATCAACCTGTGGATGGTTAAAATATACGCAAGGACTGTTTCACGGATTCCGTTATTCTGTTAAAAAGCATCAACGATCATCACGCGAAAAATAGACTTCACGATAAAAATAGCACTCATAGATGAAGCAGCATTTCTAGACAATGTTCTATTGACCCGAAACGTGGATTGCTCAGTTGGTCAAAATATTCATTAAAGGAAAATATGAGCGGGATGTATATACGTATGCAAATTTTATCTCAATGCAACAGAAGAATTTGCTGGTCAAACACCAGAGTAACGAAGTTGTGTATATTTACGGTTTCCATTGAAGTTGAGCTAAATTGAATTGAAAATTTTAAGATTAGAAAGCTTGGATTAGCCCACTCGATTGTTAATTGGG